AAAAAGGTTGTCTTTAAAATTATCTTTCACTAATTCATCTAATTTGTATTATTACTTATTATTATAGACATCAATTATATCAATACAAAATTTTAAAAACAAAATCATATTCTGTTCTATTTCAATTTTAGTTTAGTTTTGAATTTGAGTTTAGACTTGAATTAAAGTCTTATATCAAGTTTCAAAAAAACATACTTGCATCTTATTGTTTACATAAACATCTTATAAAATAAGAACCTTGTTTATTATCAACTTTTTATAACAATTATTACAAAAAAAAAAGGTTGTCTCTAAAAATTCTATAATTATAAAGTGTAGCCTAATAAATCCAATGTTCTTTTTGAAACTTACCTGATTTAATTGATTTAAATTTTTTTTGTCTGTGATCAAATTAATATTGTATCAAACTAAATAAAATGTTTGTGCTTTATTTATAAAAATGACATCTGTTAAAACCAAAAAAAAAATTAGAAGTTGTCATTTTTTAAATTTATAAATTAAAATTAAAAAACCTTAAATAACTTATCTTATGCTTAATTGACTTTTTTCATTCAAAAAATGCCCAAGAGAACAACTCTTACTGAAGAACAGAAAAATGAACTTTATGTCTATGCTCATGTTAATAAAAAAAATTAATTATAATATGTTGATTGGATTGAAACAAATGGGATTTTAGAGTCAATGAAAGCACAATTTCATGAATATTGAAAATATCTGAAAAATAACTTGACAATAGAATCAGTAATTCTAAAACAAAGCATTATAGAACTGTTACCTATCCAAAACTTGATCTCATCCTTAAAGAGTTCATGTTAATTTATCAGCATCGAACAATTTTAACTGATGCTTTACTTATCAAAAATGTGAAGCTACTTGCTAATAGTTTAGGAATTCTACAAGAAACACTAAATTTTTCTTCTGATTGGTTTTATAAATTCAAGAATCAAAATAGTATTCATCTACAACAGCTTTAAGAAGAAGCTGTATTTACTGGCATAATGGCAATTAACAATGTCATGCTATCAATAAAAAATAAATATGCAAGTTACTTTTCTGAAAGGATTTACAATATGAATAAGATCAGGCTTTTCTTTCAGTATAAGTCTCTTATTAGTATATAATAGAGGTGCAGATAAATTATCTCAATGATGTTATAACATAAGCTATAACTAGCTAAAGCTTATATTATAACTAGTTATATCAATCATTAGGATAATTTGCCTGCATCTTTATATATAAGTTATAGTTTAAATGAGTGTTGCTAAGGAAAATTCTGTCATTGGGCTTTTAATTATATCTTTCTCTTAACAGAACAAATAAAAATAAAAATTTCTTATTCTACTTAATCATGATATGAACTTTAATATTGATTCTAACTCAACTTCTTTGTTATTAAATTTAAATAAAATTTTCTTATTTGTTTAAATTTTGTTTTTACTTTTTTTTCAATGCAATATTAAAAAATTTATCTTCAAGTTGAAACCTAATTATACATTGGCAACCCAACATCTTTCTGAACATAAAAAAAACAAAGAACATCTCTCAATTGCATTGTGTGTAAATACAGATAGCTTTCACAAGATAAATCTCCTTGTAATTGAAAAGTACAAAAAACTGTACTGCTTTAAAAACATCAGAATTAGTAATTTGCCTATAAAATACAAAAACAGTACTAAAGTCTAAATGATCATATCTCTTTTTTATGAGTGGATTCTTGAATTTGATCACTATGTTAGTTTGAAGTATCAGAGCCAACATGTGCTTTTACTTCTTAATAACTGCTCTAACCATAATATTGGCAATATTATTCTCTAATTTACTGAGATTTTATTTTTGGCTCCAAATACAATCTTGAGGATTCAGCCTATAGATACTGGTATTATTATGAGTTTCAAGAAAAATTATCATCATCTTTATATTTGGTAATTTTTTAGTAAAAAATAAAAAAAAAAATCTAAATATTATATTAATTAGCTTTTTTTTTAAGTTAGATGTTACAAGAAGTTGAAAATAGATAGCATGCAGAAGACTTAAAAATAAATGTGTTACAAGCTATCCATTTTATCATTTAAGAGTGAGATAAAGTTAAAGCCAACACAATTCATGATTGTTAATATTACATAAAGATTCTTTTTGCAAATGCCAAATCTGATTTACAAAGTTTTTTAGAGAATTTTTACCAAACTACTAACCCAGTTCTCAATGATATTGCTAATGCACTTAATACTCTTGACTTTTTCGACCCTATGCAAGCTAAAGAGTATTTGGCAATTCCTAAAAAAAATATTGTTTATAAAGTTCTCTCTAATAATTAAGTTATTATAGAGCTTGTTGAAATATTTAGAACAAACAAACCAACAAACATTGACTTAAAAGATAAAGATAATAGCTTTGAAGCCTCTATTGTTAGTGCCAATATGGCAATTACAAGTTTGGAAACTATGAGTATATTTTTGCTTTAGCAGGATTGTACAGAAGAATATGTTAATCTTATAAGAAGGATTGAAAAATTTATTAAAAAGACAAAGGTTGACCAAATGCAACAAAGCAGAATTAATTAATTTTTTATGAAAGACAATTAAACAGATCATATTAAATGTTTTCTAGAATTTTTTTTTCACTTGTTATAAAAAAAAAATTCTAATTTTATAAATTTTTTTTTTTTTATGCTTGTAATATGGTAAATAAAAATTTGAATACTGTATTGGGTATGTACTATACATATATATGTACATACAGTACAATTACAAAATGACTTCATATCTTGCACTAAATAAAATTTTAATTTTATAAAGTTATTTTACATCTTGTGAGAAATAATTTTTAGTAAGAGCAAATGACACATAACATCTATCTCTTAATAAAATTAAGTTGAAACCACAAGCATACTTAAAAATAACAAAAATGTTGTTTCAATTAACTAGTTATACTAAACTAATAATGGTGTGCAATTAATGATAGCATGATAACAACTATGAAGCAATAACTTTTTAATATAAAAAACCTTTTTTATTAGTCTGTTTTAAGATTATTCATATGCATGCATTTATAGAAGTGCATATATATTCTTCGAGCTCTGAAATTTGTTGCATATGCAGAATATAGAAGGCACTTAAGTTCTGAGCTTGGAGCCAAGCTATAATGTATATATAAAGAAGATGTGTACTTAAAGAATATGCACTTAAAAGATATAACTGTAGTTTTTATTTTATATTATACAATCTTAATATATCTTTCTTTTTTTTTAGTATTAAGGTGACCTTTTTGGTTTTTAACTTTTTATTAATAGTTTTTTTAATAATGTGATTCAATAAACTACTACAGAAGAGTATACAATTGGCTACATGTATAAGTTTTTTATATTATTTATTTAAGAAGTCTGCTTAAAGGTTCTTTACCAATTGTGATACCTAATATTTCTGCTTGGATGTTCTATTTTAAATCTTCTGAACTTGCAATCTGTATTAATATTACTAGATTATACTCAGATGCCCAGAATATTATCTCAATCTTAAGACTATTTTATTCTTAAGATAAACCTTTTAGAGCCTTCTGTACCTATTTTTATAACTAACTTAGTCTCACTATAGAAAAATCAATGCTTGCAGTCAGAGTTATATCATTTAACTGCTATGCTTTTGTAAAGTTTACTTGAACGCTAGCATCTACTTTATAGCATAATCTTAGTACTTTAGTATACTCTGGCCTTTTTAACAGACTCCTAATCCAGATAGCTTATATAGGATTACAATTAGTTTATTAATATATCAAATTAGCCTGATATTCTTTTCTTTTAGTTTATTCTAATAGCCTGGTTGGAGATACTTTGAAGGCTCTTAACCTAGAGGTTCTTGCTGTCTGAATATTATAATCTTGGTATCTGTTTTATTAGACTAGTCTTTATAGTATAATCATTAAAAATCCAGCTATTTTTCTAATTAGATCTTTTTAAATAAACTTCTTGTTACCTAATTTTAATAGATTTATATAGCTACAAGAACTTATCTAGTGTTTGCACTGCTTAATTGTTGGTTTGAATTTCTTTGTATAATGTTATATTTATACAGATGCCTTATGACTTGCTAGTTATACTAGTGCAACTGTTATTATAGGTATCTTAATGCAATTATTAGTAACAGTTGCTGTAATACAAATATTATATAAGAGATTATCTAAATTTTTATTATGATAAAATTTGAATATTTAACCTACAACTTAGAAGGTTAATAGCCTGACTATTTTACTAGATCATTATACCTCTTTAGTATATCTTAATATATAGTATATTAATATATACAACAAAAATTATTAATAAAAATATAAGCAAGATCTTATCTTAATACAAAAAAAAATGATATAGAAATTGATAAATAGTATTTATAGCCAGATTGTTGTAGAATTAAGTAATTAAATAAGGGTTCTGATTTATTAAATAAGTGTATATAGGACTTATTATAGTGTTATATAATAAATTATTATTTTATTATTATTATTTATTAATATTATTAAAATTAACTATTTATTACCAGTAGTGATCATCATCAGCATTATATGTAATTGCATAATTTAGTAATCTTAAGATTATATATTAATATTGAAGTATAATCAAATAACAATAGAGATAATATTTTTTTAACTTTGCAATAATTTTTTTTAACTTTATTTAACTTTTTGTCTTTCATTATATTGCAGATACTGTATATTGTAATTTTATTTGTAACAAAAAAACAAATATCTACTTATGCACATACCTTAAATGGCACTTTTAGAATTGCAATGATTAAGCAACTTTTATTTTTCATTCAATTTTTTGTCTCTTGTTAAGTTTCAAGGTATAATTAAAGTTTTTAGTTAATTACTAGGCATTGTTAATTTCAAAAAAAACCCTTAAGGCACTACATTATAATTTACTTTAAGTAATTTTTTGTAGTTATGAAATACTAACTAGTTTTTCTTTACATCTTCAACATTAGTAATAGATAGAAAAAAAGAAATGACTAATGCTCAATGAATTAAAGAAAAAAGCAAACTATGAGATGTTTGTTTTTGCAAATTACAAATTGCCTGGTTTTGCAAATAAGTTGTCTGGTTTTAAGAATGAGTTGCCTGTTTCTGCGAACTGTAAATTGTCTGGTTTTATAAACTATGAGTTGCCTAGTTCTGTGAACTATGAGTTGCCTAGTTCTACAAATTGTGAGTTGTCTAGTCTTGCGAATAATAAGTTATCTAATTTAGTAAATAATAAATTGTCTAGTTTTGTAAATAATAAGTTGTTTGGTTTTGTAAATTTTGAAGTAGATAGTAATTTATCTGGTTCTATGAATTTTGTAGTAAATAATAATTTTTCTGATCTTATGAATTCTGGATTTGCTAGTAATTTACCTAGTTCTGAATGTTAAGGTTCTTTTAATAATTGGGATGCTATACAATATGCAATTGATGTATACTTAAAGCAACATGAGTTTGTTGCTATTAAGTATTATAAAGTCTCAATCCAATTAATAGATCTATCATTTGGCACTATGATTATGTTTGTTGAAAATCTGATATAAACAAACTAAAGAAAGTAGAAAATATTTGTGAACATCATAATGGTGTTTTTGATAAAATAAATTATTCATAGTTGGTTTATTTCTATTGTAGTAAGTGACAAATATTATAAATATTACTAACATTGTAAATAAGCACAACTATTTATGCAATCTGAACACTATAGAATTAGCTCTGAAATTTTTACAATTTCTATAAGAAATTTTAAACAAAATTGAATATTATACTACTGTTGGCTAATTGAGTGCTAGGCAACAATATAACCTTTTTACAAAAGAATTTTCTCAAAATCATATCAAAAAAAGAATCTATATAATACTATTGGTAGATTTCAAGATGTAAGAATTTATAATGAATCCAATACTTTTACAATGTTGTCATATCTTTTTAATTTAAAAGAGTATGATTAAAAATATATAGTTATTTTATATATAGAGAGTAGATCTAATGAATTAATAGAGTTATTTTGAATAAGTAGTTAGCAGAAAACCCAACTTTGGTCTAAGTTTTATAATGTTATTATCTATGATAATATGGCCAAGACAAACTGATATGAAATAGTACTTAGCCTATTTATTGGAATTGATAATAACTTCAAGTCACAGATCCTTGCTTAAGCTCTAACAAAGTATGAAACTCAAGCTGATTATGATTAGATCTTGCAATATACATTGAAAGCAACTAATAATTTGTTTTTTGTAGTTTTGTTTACTGATAAAGACCCTGCAATGATTATAGTCATTCAAGTTGTATATCCACAAACTAAACATTTACTATGTATCTATTATATTGGTAAAAATATTAAAAAAAAAGCCAAATCAAAGCTATATAATGATGTGATCAAAAACTTTATTAATAATTTTTATCATATAAGGAATAGTTGCACTTAAGAACAATTTGAATCAAGATACTAGCACATGTTTAAAGAGTATGAACCCTGTTACTTTTATCTTAAAACCAAACTTTACCTATGTTATGAATCTTGGGCAAGATATGCTATCTTAAAGTTGTTCACAGCTGGTGCTAAATTAACACAGAGAGTGAAATCGATAAATGGTATTTTAAAAAAACATCTTGATCAATATACATTGTTGAAAGAGCTGATGAAAATAATTGAACAAGAACTGGAAAAAAAGGTCAGTTACAATTGTATTAGAAATTATTATAAATCTAATTCTTATAATACTATTTTCAAAACTATTAATTTGGTATTGAAAGAACACTTGACACCTATCTTTCTGTTACTTCAAAAAGCTCAAATAAATTAGTCATTATTATATTAAGAAATACTGATTATAATTGAACAAGCAAGTATCATATAAGTTTGAAATTAGATTATTTTTCAAATGTTAAAACTAGTTTTAATTAGTTTTAGCATATGAAAAATAACCTGATTTCAAACTCTATTATATATAAATTGTGCTTTATTAAATAAATTTTAACAGTACTAAATTTATGAATAGATCTAAGAATCTAGTATTGAAACTGATAGTATAATTGAACATCTCTATGATATACCTCAAATTCGATTAAGGGAGCCCTTATTGGATATATTGGATGATGATATACTAGAAATTTAGAAGGTTTTGTATATTGGAATAAATTCAACAGCCAAATCTCATTATGTTGTAATTCTTAAGAATTTAATAGTACTTTGTATATGTATGCAAATAATAAACTTTGAAATGCTATGTTATCATCAATATTGAGTTTTTATTCAATAATCTATAGCAGTTTTTTATTTAAGGCTAATTCATATACAATAATTTAAAGATAGAAAGTAATATATTGAAATTATATATAACTCAATGGTAAAATTTTTTTATATTTAATTTTATAAAAATTATATTAAGTAAACTAATATTAATTTATAGAAAAAGTTTATAGAGCAGGTTTTTTTAATTTTAATGATAGTAAAATTATTAAATTTTATTAAAAACTCAGTAAAATATAACTTTTTAAAGATTAGGTATAAAAATTTATTAATTAAATTAACTTATAGGGTTACATAAATTAACT